ACCCCGAAGAGAAATTCCAGGAAATCCCGTGAAAGGAGATCTTGCTGCCATCCCACGCTTAGTTCAAGAGTCCAAAGGCAAGTGACCTAGCAATCTCTCTGATGGAGTAACAATGTCTCCCCTACCACCTTGGAGAGAGGGTCACTGGTGGAGGCTGTACTCGGATGCTAGATAAAATTGATATTAAGGATGGGAGAACACGAACAAATCAATTTACTGAAATGAAACAAAATTACAATTATTTCTGAAAAGAAAATAACCAAGAACAGATCATACCTGACAAACCTTATTGCATTCTTTGACCAAGTGACAAAATTAGTGGATCAGAGAAACGTTGTGGATATAATTTACTTGGACTTCAGTAAGGCATTTGATAAAGTAGATCACAACCTACTACTTGACAAGATAGAAAAATGTGGGTTAGACAAACATCACCACCAGATGGATCCATAGCTGGCTGACCGGCCATACTCAGCAAGTGGTCCTCAATGGAACCACATCTACATGGAGGGAACTGTGTAGTGGGGTGCTCCAGGGCTCTGTTCTGGGCCCAGTGCTCTTCAACGTCTTCATCAATGATTTGGACGAGGGGATAAATGGGGAACTCATCAAATTTGCAGACAACACCAAGCTGGCAGGAATAGCCAACACTCCAGAAGACAGGCTTAAGATACAGTAGGATCTGGACAGACTTGAACACTGGGCGCTATCTAACAAAATGAAATTCAATGGTGAAAAATGTAAGGTTCTACATTTAGGCAAGAAAAAACCAAATGTACAGGTATAGTACCTTGCTCAATAGTAGTAACTGTGAGAGGGATCTCGGAGTCCTAGTGGACAATCGCCTAAATATGAGCTAGCAGTGTGCTGCAGCTGCCAAAAAAGGCCAACTCAGTGCTGGGCTGCATTAAAAGAGGGATAGAATCAAGATCACGTGAAATATTAATACCACTTTACAATGCCTTGGTAAGGCCACACTTGGAATACTGCATCCAGTTTTGGTCACTGTGATGTAAAAAAGATGTTGAGACTCTAGAAACAGTACAGAGAAGAGCAACAAAGATGATTAGGGGACTGGAGGCTAAAGCATATAAGGAACGGTTGCTGGAATTGGGTATGTCTAGTTTAATGAAAAGAAGGACAAGGGGGGACATGATAGCAGTATTCCAATATCTCAGGGGCTGCCACAAAGGAGAGGGAGTCAAGCTATTTTCCAAGGCGCCTGAAGGCAGGACAAGAAGCAATGGATAGAAACTAATCAAGGAGAGAAGCAACCTAAAACTAAGGAGAAATTTCCCGACAGTTACAACAATTAACCAGTAGAAAAACCTGCCTCCAGAAACGGTGAATGCTCCAACACTGAAAGTTTTTAAGAAGAAACTGTACAGCCATTTGTCCAAAATGGTATAGGGTTTCCTGCCTGAGCAGGGGGTTGGACTAGATGACCTCCAAGGTCCCTCCCAACCTTATTATTATTATTATTATTATTAGTAGTAGTAGTAGTAGTAGTAGTAGTAGTAGTAGTAGTATCTACTAGAATGAATAAAATTATAAAATTATACCATAACATTGGGGGGGGGGTTTAAAAGCACGAACATGCATAGATGAAATATGTATGCATACTTGATTGCAAAACATTCCTGCTAATTAAAATAAGAGAAACACTCACATCTCAGAACGAATCTGTTTTATTTATACTTTTATCCATATCTATTATGTCATAACTAATTATATTGGCAATTGAAACTGTGTATGTTTACATACCGACCAGTGCACAATTCAGTATATGCCTTTGTTGTCATTGAATAATATTACTCATAATTTGAAAACAAAAGCTATGTTAGCACCTTTTCACACCAGTAATATTTGACATTTAAAAGCAATTTAGCAGAAGCAGAAACTCTTTTCTCTAGTTCTAAGCTGTTATTGTTTGGTAGATTGGATGTGGATCCCATATGGCATTCCAATTTCCTGTTTCATGTGAATATATTCCAGTGTTATTTCTGAAATTTATCTAAGCCCCATTTGTGGATATTTCCCATTTCTCTTATTTCCTAATAGACTTCTACTGGACAAGCTCCAGTGTTCATGTCTACTTCAGATTTGGTGCTCAAAGTTCAATAATGTATTCCAGAAGCAACCTGACCAATGTGGTCAGAAAAGAAAAGAGAAATATTTAACAATAAATGCTCCACAGAGCAATATATCAAACTTCTTTCACATATAAATCACATGAAGGTATCTCTACAAGTAGAAGAAGTTATGGGCTGAACTATTATTCTTGCTCCTTAAGTTCTGTGGCACCTCAATTCTCTTTCATGTATGGAATGACAATAAGTTCATAGTAAAAGTTAGTGAAGAGCTTCCTTTTATTCTGACATCTATAGTCAATAGAGGAAAATATTGTGGCTCTTTTCTTTGCTCTTTCTATGATTTACTCATTCCTGTAGCATGAGTAGTAAGCAAAAAGGCAGCATTAAGAAGTGATTAGTGATGGGTTCACGTTGGCTCTAGGCCAGAGGCCCCCCACCTTTTGGGCACCAGGGACTGGTTCTGTGGAGAAATATTTTTCCGCGGACCTGAGGGGGCATGGTTTCATGTACTGCCTAAATCCAGCAGATGGGGCTTCACTTGTTTCCATAGTCCAGTTGCTGGTATGCCGCGGACCTGTGCTGGTCCATGGACCGGGGGTGGGGGATCCCTGTTTTAGGCCTCACAAATGCCCACCAATGGCAATTTGTGTTGCAGAGAGTCAAACATCCAGCAGAAATATGAGGAGAATTTCCACATCCTCTTCATTGTTTCCTGAATAGATCCTGTAGATCTGTAGACAGATGAAGGCATGTTAACTAAGATTCTAAAAGGTTTGCTTCTAGAAAAGATACACCATAATGAGACAGAATCAAGTCAATACCTGCCAATTCTTATTCATCAAAAAGAATGGAAAAAATTTGGGATTTTTATGAGTAATATGAATTGGATCCACTGCAACTCCTAAACACGCATCTGGGCAAGCCTTATAAACATTGGGTAAACATTTGGCAGCCAGATTACAAGTTACCAAGACAATAGAAGGTAGAAGCAGCAATGCCATTTCTGTCTGGCTTTTTGCAGGAATAAGCATGGCAGAACAGTGAACAAATAAAAATCCTTCAAGTTGGAGCTAACTTTGACCTAACTAAAGATTCCAAATCTGCCTGGAGTAAGTCCCCTAGTGGGGACACCAAAGTTGAGTCTAGGAAAAAATGTATGAATCGATTGATGTGGAGGTGATATAGAAACCTAGCAATACTACTCAGCAGGTGGAACTGTTGGCCTTTTTCAAGTGTTCAACAGAAAGACTTGTTGCAGCTCAGAATTTATTTTCAGTTTATTTTTATGTAGTAAAAAGAGTAGTAATTATGTAGTAAAACATAGACTTCATCCTGAAATAATTTAGCCACTTTTAATGGTGCTCAGCATAGGAGAACATTCCATAGCAGCCTTCTAGATTCTGCTGATTATTCTTCCAATGTTTGTGGCTGTGGTAGAACATGTTTCTGGTGCTGTGTCTATTCTGTTCCCACAATAACTATTTAGCTCTATGCTAGCTAACATTGAATTGAGGAGTAATGTTTGCCTCCAACTATATATACAAAGAATTTAGTTGGCAATTATTTCTTGCTCTATATTATCTGAAGAAGGAATAGGTCTGTGTCCTGGATACTGTTAAGAACGGACATCATGTTGTCATTCAATTCTTTAAATAAAGGAAGGCAGGAAAATATGTGTGGGTGCAATAATTGCTTTTGCACTAATAGCCTTGAGCAAAAACTGGAATCCCAATTAGAAAGAAGACAGAAGTCATTTGAACATCATCATCTCTAGGCTGTTTATCCCGTAAAACGGCCATCGGAAGACATGCCCTTTGTCCAGCATTTGCAGAGATCTCAGCATGTAATAAAGGAACCAAGCTTATTCTTCCTGCTGCATTCTGCACACATCACCTCTCGTGGCATTTGCAGTAATTAGAGTGTTGTTACCTTGTCAGCACTTGGATTTTGCTTGGCAAATTGTCTTTCTGAACTTACCTTAACCTATGCTGCACAAGTACCATATAGGAAATAAGCATTTCAAGTGCATTCAGTGAACTTTCTGTCCTTATGCTTCTTCTATGACATGCATGCATTGATGTTAGCAGTCAAATGACTAGGTGATTAAGATTGTTCAGAAGCTACAATAACAGCGTTAAGTAATTAAAAGCTAGGGAATAAATTGTAAGTGACATTAGAGCAAAACGGTGATGTTTGCAAAGGCTAATAGATCATCCTTCCAGATAAACAATTATAAGGGATTTTTTTTTTATAAAGTAGGAAAGGAATTTTAACAACATTATACTTTGTTGTTTAGATTTCAGTCTTATGTCCTGGGTAAGGAAAAGTACTATTTATATATAATAGGTAGGGATGGCCCAATTATTAGAAATTACATTTAATACTGAGTTATGTTTGTTAATTTTGATGATTTATGCATTTTTGTAATGAATGTAATTGTTATGCATCTGTATCCATGACGAATTTGCTTTGAGTATAGTAATTACAGCAGAAGAGTATAAAAATAAATTTGACTTGACTAATTAAAGGCTTCCTATAGATCATTAAATTTGTTCAAGGTACTTCTTCATATGTCATTTGAAAATTATAGAATGTGCAAACAAGCTATTTTTTATAGGTACTGTACTTCTTGAGCCATCCAATTAGACTAAATGCATCCTTTCCAAATAGCACAGTGATCCAACTGAGTGAATAATATGCTTATACAATAATCAAATGACATTTAAGGTAAACATTTAATAATATTTACTGTATGTATGAATGCTTAGAATGTTAGTTCAAATGCTTAATTACTCGCAGATTATAAACACTAAATTCTAAATTTACTGTCCACATTTAAAAAAAAAACATTGACTACATAGTAGTAAATTTTATTTGTTTATTGATTCATGAGATATAGGGTTTATCTGCCTGCCTGGTCGTCATGGCCAGAATGAGACAGGGACAATTTTTGGAAGACATGAGTTCAATTCCCTGCAACACAAATTCAGCCTCCAGGTGTATTTGCCTGCTGTAGTTCAAAAGTAGTCTTTTCCTCTTAGGGCAATTTCAGCGCTCTTGTCTGTTCAGGATGGAGAGCTTTTCTTCCCTGTGGACTAGCGCCAGCAATTCATTTGATGCTTTCTAATGGAAGAAATTTGAGAGAGCCACTTTGAAGTAGTGATTAAGGCTTCATGCTAGAAACTAGGAGACTGTGAGTTCTAGTCCTACCTTAGGAACAAAGCCAGCTGGGTGACCTTGGGCTAGTCACTTCCTCTCAGCCCCAGGAAACTGCAGATCTTATCCAAGCAGTCTCTAAGAATTGGACACAATTGAATAGAAGGAAAAAAATGGCAAGAAATACCTCTTCAATTACGATGATGCTCACCATAAGTTCTAACATCAGCTGAGCTTCTTTTTTTATCATGAGTTCTGCAATACCACATAGTCACTATAACTCTTGTGAATAGAAGATTGTCGGTTTAAAATTCAAGAGAAATGTTGGGAAGGAGGTAAATTATTATTTTTCTTTCCTTCTGCCTTTTTTTCTTTTCTAAAATAGTGGAGTGGTACACTATTCCACCACTTCTCTAGTTCATCCAATGGAAAAAAGTTTTGTCCCAATTCCTAAATAGCCCATAGTAAGATCATCTCATTTATACTTGGCAACTCTTCAATGCCTTGTAATTATATAATCAAAAAAACATTTTGATAAAAAGAAATGTCCTTAAGGTAGAGTGCTAATAACACTACTTATATTGAATATGGCTGAAGATGGTCAGCTTTAAGTAATTAATTAATTTGGTAATTAAGACATTGCCTGCCATAAGCAACTTTGCTACCCATGTCCAGTGTTCTATGGACCTTTTCTCGTGCATCTTTTATTTCATTTCATTATCAAATAATGATGGGTTTATCAAGACCCTCTGGGATCATATTACAGGAAGGATCAGAGCATGAAAACAGAAGATTTTTTTGCATGGTAACTGTAATGTATTGAGGTGAAGTACTTGGAGTTGTTGAAAAAATGGTTATAAGACTCTGTCAGTTAAGAGCCAGACTTGCTGTCTTCATGCTAATTATTTTGTGTTAAAGCGGGAACTAATACTTGAATCCTATTGGCTGCCACCTACTTGTTGAGTGTCTAAATAGGGGTGGAACTGCAGTTATCTAGGCTTCTGATTAAACCTTTAATAAAGAGTTGTTTGTTCACCTGCTACCTTGTTGATGCCTTACCGAACACCAAACATAACAGTAACATGAAGCAGTGCTGGGGATAGGTTTTTTTAAGGGGATAGTTTTTTTTAAGCTATCAGAGTAGCTAAGAAGGATCTCCCAGTCATTTTAAATAATGACAGGCAAAAGCTGTGCAGTCCAAAATTATGGGAAGAAAAGTTATAACATCCAACTTCTTTCATATGGCACAATTAGTTTAAAAGTTATTTCCTTTTTCAGTGTGTTTTAGCTGACCATGTCTTCTGCTGTTTTAACTATTGACTCTCAGGTCACACAAATGTTTTGTTGTTTATAGTGTTCTATAGATATCGTAGGACCCTTAGAGAAAGATTATGTACATTTTGCATCTCAAGAAAACAAGTGTTTCCCATCCTAGAAAGTACAAAACTTTCTGTTTGCCCTCAATGTGTCCAAATCATGTTAGCATTCTGCCGTTTAAATCACGAAGAATTCACTGAATTTTGAACATGCATATTTAATAATAGCTGTCTTGAAAGTGGGGCTGATAGAAAAAAAAACCAGGGTAGAGATTCTGAAGTTTGGGAGTGTGATGGTTGTATAGAAGCAGAAAGATACAAAATATATACTGCAGAATCTAGGCTAATGGAAAACTTATTATTCTCTTACCAATCTCATTCACACTTCAGAAATGTTGAGGATTTGATCACTGAAGGTAAGAGCCTTGGATCTTGACAAAATGTTAACATATCTTAACAATTTTACAATATTCTGCAAAAGTAATTCACCAAGTAGGGTAGCATCTGAGACAAATGCTCTGCTGAAAGGGAGAGAATTGACTGGAAATTGATAACTCATAAGACTGATCTGATATTGAACAGAATAATAGTAATTTAATGAATGGATAGAGACAGCATGGGGGGAAAGAGAGAGATAGTTCTAGTAGGATTTACTGGAGACAATGGTATAGCCTATAAGGTCAACATTTTTAAAATTCTCTGCACATCTTCTTGTTAGAAACCTTATGTGCCTTTACTATTGCACTCTATGTATTTATTTTTAAAGAAGCAACTATAATAAAGGTTTCATATATAATAACTTACCCTGCCAGTTTTGGCTGGATTGTGGTTTCCTTTTTGATGTTTCTTTTTCTGCCTGGCTGAAAATAATACAAGTATTCTTTTGTTTATAGCAATAGCACTTAGACTTATATATCACTTCACAGTGCTTTACAGCCCTCTCTAAGCAGTTTACACAGAGTCAGCATATGCTCCCCCCCAACAATCTGGGAGATGGCAATTGTGACCAGAATTTTCATCGCTAAGTGATGTGGTCATAAAGCCTGATGTCACATGGCTGCACTGCTTAGCAACAGCAAGTCCTGCTTGCCTTCATAATCTCAGGACCATATGGGCTGCCAAAAAAACGGAGGTGGGAGTCCCAGGCAAAGAATAAGGGAGGTGCACGGGTATTACAAATGGATAGGGGTGCTGTGGATGGCATTTGGGAGTACAGATGGCTGGCAGGGGCTGCAGGCAGGCCACTGAAGTCTGTGGGCTTGTGCTAGGGAGCACAGGCAGACTGGCAAAGATTGCAGCCAAGCTCTAGGGAGTGCAGGCAGACTGGCAAGGACCATAGGCAAGTTAGTAGGTGACACAGATGGGCGAGGGAACGCTGCAGGCAGGTGGTGACTCAGAGTGCAAATGAATGTGTGGATGCTGTGACATACAAGATCCCTGGAATCACTCATGAGAAGCTGGCAGGGAAGATCACAAATAGCAGTTATGTGACCATGGGATGTTACAACCAGCATAAGAGTGAGCTGGTTCCCAAAGGCCCAAACTGCAATCATACGACTGCAGAATTGCTGTCATGGCCAGAACTTTGAGGACCCATCATAAGTACTACTTATGTTCAGTGCAATTGTAACGTTGAACACTGAATAAATGGTGTACGTTGAGGATTACCTGTACTGCAGTTAAGGAACCATCAAAGAGAAAACCAAATCCCCTCCAAAATTGACAAGGTAAGCTATCATATATAAACAAGTAGCAAACTTCACACTGACTCTCACTGATCATGTTACCTAGTTGGGTAATGAAATGTTTGCATGAAAACAACTATGCTCAGAGAACACAAGAGTGCGATAGTTTAATGGTAAGCTACAGATACTCTCTTCTACTGGAAAAACTTTACATTCTTCCATCCAATTTAAACTCTGCTCTGTTGCACCTGGGACTTCGCACTGCTGTAGGAGTATCTAATATCATCATGAAATTTCAGGCACTGCTCAGATGTTTCCAGGTTTGTAAGGATGCCTAGTGGGTCTTTTAGGGGTTTACAGTGATTCTTGGTAACGTAGATCATGCCAGAGGGTAGTGCTTTACTTTGAAATATCCAAGCATTCCATTTTTTTAAAAAAAAAATATGGATATGTAAAACATTTGAAAAATAATGAGGCAGGGAAGTTTCCAGAACCACTTTTCAAAGACCCCTATAGACCCCTTGAAGCTATATAAAAAAGAGCTCTTTGGTATATCCAGGATGATTTGGACTCAGAAATATAATACTGCTCTTTCTTATTCTCATCATTTTTATAAATATTCTGAACATTTCAATTTTTATCTCACTTTGCATGGTTATTTTAATGTATTTATCATTTATTTTAATGTATTTATTATTCATCCCACCTTTATTATTTTTTAAATAAATAACTCATATCTAATACTCCTTCCTCATCCTACTTTCCCCACAACAACAACCCTATAAGGTGGGTTGGGCTGAGAGAGATGACTGGCCCAAAGTCACCCAGCTGGCTTTCACACCTAAAGCAGGACTAGAACTCACAATCTCCTGGTTTCTAGCCCAACACCCTCCTTATTACTTAAAAAAAAATAGAATTTCAAAAACCTGGTGGATTGTTCAAAGTAATGGTTGAATTAGAATAGTTCTTTGCATTCATATTGTTAACACTGGTCTATTGCTCTTATTATAAACTGCTAAAAATGCATATTATCGGCACTACGTGACAAGATATCAAAAGTGATTGAATGTTTATAATTCTCCAAATGTGCTGCTTGCTTTTTACAATGTACTTTATTTAAAAGAAAAAAACTTGGATACATATAATATATAGCTCTGCTCTTTGCCTTCTGTAGTTTTTGATTATTTGTAATGGAAACTACATCTTATTAGTGTGCAGAATGTTCAGTGGAATCTATTCTGCTGTATTTTTATTCATAAAAACCACAGCATGCCAAGTCTAAATATGATTTACAAATAAACAAAAATAAAATGCATATTTTTCTGCCACAAGTGGCATATATCCTTCCTCCCCAGTGTAACAGCATCCATGAGGAAAACTTAGGTTGCCTTTCTTTTCTTCTGACAGATGGATGTGCTAGATTTTAGTTCCAGCATAATCCTAGCCTAGACATAGCTTGAAAAGAGACAAAAAAAGAGTTGTTATGCAAGCATTAGCTTTCACTCTGAATAATGGGCATCATGCTAAAATGGATTTGTAATGAGGAGAGAAGAAATATTAGACATCACACAGCAATTGCCTCATAAGAGAAAAAATATTAGAAGGCTGCAGTTATTACAGTCCAAGTCTGCTTTTCTAAAAGGTATAAACAGAAAAAAACATTCCACAACTCTTTGCTTATATCAGAATAACAGAATTGGAAGGGACCTTGGAGGTCATCTAGTCTAACCCACTGCTCAAACAGGAGACCCTATACCAGTGATGGTGAACCTTTTAGAGACTGAGTGCCCAAAAACTGCCCCACCCCCTGACTCACCCCCACTCTGCCCCACCCCCACCTACCCGCAGGGCTACCCACCGCCTCCATGGCTCACCGCAGGAGATCGCACAGGCGGCCTGCAGCGCCACGGCGGCCACACCCTCCATCTACACTCCACAGCATCATCTGTGCATGACAGGGTGGAATGTTGTCCCTGCTGCCCAGCTGCCATGTTCTTGGCTGCACTGCTCCACGCGGGCTGTGCCCGGGGGCGACTCTCCTTCAGGGGGGCTGCTGGTGAGGAGGGGGCCACAGGGGAAGGCAGGGCTGGAGTGACGGTGCATGTGCCCACAGAGAGGGTTCTGAGTGCCGTCTCTGGCACACATGCCATAGGTTCACCTCCACTGCCCTATACCATTCCAGACAAGTGGCTGTCCAGTCTCTTCTTAAAAGCCTTCAGTGATGGACCACCCTCAACTTCTAAAGGCAAACTGTTCCACTGATTAATTGTTCTGTCAGGAAAGTTCTAGGTTGCCTTTCTTCTTGATTAGCTTCCATCCATTGTCCTGCCTTCAGTTGTTTTGGAGAATAGATTGACCCCTCATCTTTGTGGCAGCCCCTCAAATTTTGGACCACTGCTATCACATCTCCCCTATTCCTTCTTTTCACTAGACTAGACATACCCAATTCGTGCAACCATTCTTCGTGTTCTGATTTGTTTTGAACTGTTCAGATATAAGTAATAACAGATTGCGGGGGGGAGGGAGTGTTGTTGCTGCAGCAATTGTTCAAAAATCTCAAGGAACATGTTTAAAGAGGCATTAAAAACATCAGTGTAAATATCTCCATGCAAACACAAAACACCTAATAGAATAAATGCCATCTGCTTAATTTAATTTAGATATTCAGCTATAAATTCAAAGAATATTCTTTTATGTTATAACACACATACATACACACACACACACACACACACACACACCAAAAATGATCCTAGGATGATTTAACAAAGCCATAGCTATCTTACATTATTGGTCCTGAATTTTGGGAAGGCTATGAATCTGAGATGCTTTAGTTAGAACTACTGATTAGCAATAGCACCAAGAATGTGTCTGGAGAGAGGAATAGTGCAAAGTAACTTATTGTGGCCTGACCTTACCAAACCACCTGGTTTTGACAGCCTCACTTTGTCTGGCTGAAATTGAACAGCGTTAGATGTGATACTGGAAGAAATGTTTCTGCCCAGTATCAGTGGGGATGGAAAGATTCCCCTTGTTGCAATTGTGGTGCTGATATGCAAAGCGTTAACATATTGTGCAGATTGCCCATGAGGTGCATTCTCTGGTTCCCTAAAATATCTGCATGAAGCAACGCCAGAAGTAGCAATAGCAATAGCACTTAGACTTATATGCCGCTTCATTGCTTTATACTGTAGCACTCTCTGGGCAGTTTACAATGTCAGCACATTGCCCCCAACAACCTGGGTCCTCAGTTTACCAACCTCAGAAGGATGGAATGCTGAGTCAACCTTGTGCTTATCAGGATCGAACTGCTGGCAGTTGGCAGAGTTAGCCTGCAATACTGCCTTCTTAGGTGCATTCTTTGAATATTTTCTAGGAGATAGCACTTAACTTTCTCTCTGTGTGTGTACATTATTCTTTACTTCTATTCCTCTTTAAATTATTTAAATATTTTGAGTACTGTAGAAGGTAATCATCCAGTTTCTGGTCAGGAAATAAATTTTGGCTGGTCTTGGAAAAATTGAATATCCATTTGACTGTGATTTTCAAATAGTAAAATGCAGGAAAGTATAATCTAGTCTTCAAAACCACTTTTATATATTAGTTGTGTGAAGATACCAGAGAAATACAAAGGGCTTAGTTGCTTTGAATTTAGTTTTATCCCAAATTGTGTTGCTTTGGCTCTCTCTCTCTCTCTCTCTCTCACACACACACATACACACACACAGACACACACACACACATACACACAGAGAGAGAGAGAGATAAATATTTTGAAGATATATAAAACTTTAATATTTTCAAATTAAATAAGATGGAAGAAATATTTTAAAATATAGGATGTAAACTCTATAAATGAATTATGCAATATTTCATTGCAAATCTCTTTTTTTCTTCATGATAAGAATATCATTGTATTTGGAATGGATAGCAACGTTTCTTCTCTTGTGCTTCCTGATCCCAAAGGAACAGTGAATTGCTACAGAATGCTGGCCCTGTAAACTGATTATTCATTTCAGTGTATGCGTATGCATCTGAACTGTGAATGAATGACATTTTTGACCCATACATGAAACCTTCTTTATTCAAGCTAGCTTCTTTCTTGTTTTCTCCATAAAGACATATGTACTCACTTTGTAAGCCAGAAGATAATACCCTTTCCTCCAACTCCAATCAATTATTTTTCACCTTTGCCTTAATTAGACATCCACTCCTTGTTAAATGCTTAACTCTACCCCACAAATATGTAACTTTTCCTT